ATGCAAACATTGAGCTAGAATACCAAAAGGAAGAATGCACTCACTCAGCATCTTTTACGCTGAAAGAACGCAAGGAAGAAGTCAAGCCTCGAGTTGCAACACTGAAAGATTCTGTGGGCAACGTACTGAGCGATAAAGGAAGCTTCAAAGGAAGAAGAAAGGAATACACAGAGTCACTGTAGCCAAAAGAACAAGTTGGCATTTAACCATTTCAAGAGAGAGCATATAATCAAGAACCAATGGAACTGAAGGAGGAAGTCCAAGCTGCATTGAAAGCATTAGCAAAAAAAGCAAGGCTCCAGGAATTGATGTGATAACAACAGGAATGCTTCAACAAGCTGATGGACCGCTGGAAGAATTCACTCCTCTATGCCAAGAAACTTGGCTACCTGGTGACTACCTGGCCAACTAACTGAAAGAGGTCCACATTTGAATCCTTTCTAAAGAAAGTTTACCTTACAGAATGCAGAAAGTATTGAACAATGTCATTAATATCACGTGCAAGTAAAACTTTTGCTGACGATTGTTCAACAATAGTTACACAGTGCATTGACAGGAAGCTGCCAGACATTCAGGCTGGATTCGGAAGAGGCCATGGATCCAGGGACCTCGTTGTTGGTGTCAGGTGAATCTTGGCTCAAAGCAGAGTACCAGAGAGCTATTTACTGATGTTTTATCAGAACACTTCATTGTACTCACGCAGAACCTGTACATGACGAACAAGGGACTATCCTGTGGTTTTAAATCAAGAAAGGTGTGCACTAAGGTTGTATCTTCTCCCCACCGAGACAAATCTGAGAAGCTGGATGGTGCGAAGAGGAATGTGGCATCTGCATTGGAGCCAGGCCTACTAACAACCTTGCCTACTGACAGTCAGAGTACTTAAAACACTCGCTGCCGATGGAGATCAAGGTGACAGCCCTGGGTATGGAACATGCTCAGCCCCATCAAGCCAATTCCAACTCATAGCCACCCTAGGGCACCGGGCAGAACTGCCCCCTGGGTTTCTGAGCTTGTAATCCTTTACGGCACAGAAAGTCTTCTCTTTCTGCTCACAGAACAGCCGGTGGTTTCACAATAAATGGCGAACAGATTGAAGTTGTTAGGAGCTTATCTCGCTTGGGCCCACAATGAATGCTCCCGGAAGCAGCAGCCAAGGGTTCCAAGGACACGTGCCCAAACCCTCACACGGACTGTCATCAGGACAATTCTGCGTTGAGTGATGGATAGCATCGGGGGAGTCCGCTGCAGAAGGCTGCTTCCGAAGTGTTGAAGAGCAAAAACAACACCAGGATGTCACTTTGAGGACCAAGGAGCTCCTGACCCAAACCATGAGCTTATTCAATCGCCTCATAGTCATGTGGCAGCTAGACACAGAATCAGGATGACCAAGGGAGCTTGCATTGTTATTCTAAAGAAGGAAACAGAAAGTACCATCAACTGCCAAGAGAACACTTCTTGGAAGAAGTACGGATAGAATACTGTCTAGAAGTGAAGCTCAAGAAAGGAAGGACGGAAGGGAGGGAGGGAACACCTGGGGACTTCATTTCACGGACTGTGGACATGTTCCCCCTGGAGAAGGAGGCCATGCTTGGTCAAGGAGAAGGGCAGTGGGAAAGAGGAAAACCCTCATGAGATGGGTCGACACAGTGACTGACAAGGGGCTCAAACGGAACAGTTGTGAGGATGACGCACAGTGGGCCGTGTTTGCTTCTGTTGTGCGCACGGCTGCTAGGCGTTGGAACCAGTTTGACGCCATCTCCCGTCAGCAACCCCAGCCAGGCCTTGCGTCTCCAAGCACAGCGGCATTTTCATCTCTGAGAGGAACAAAGAGAGTGCATTGAATCAGCTCAAACAATTTGGGACTGACAATTCCTACTGCAGCTGTGAGCGTGATGACTGGGTTTCCACCAGCTGGTCTTGGGTAACCAGGGGTAAAACACAGCGTGCTACCCGGGGGTCAGCAAAGGGAAGAAAGATGTTCTCCCAGGAGAGCTGGAGGTTACACATGAGTCACATGCGAAATGTGATCGGTTTTTGGGTCACTGGCTTTCTGTGCAAGTAGACTGCTCACACAAACAATTTGTTTGTTTGTTTGCTTTTCCAGGATAAGTAATGACTCATCTGCTTGTCAGCAAATCCTTATCTGTTGTTCCTCAAAAAAACTTTAGTGGCTTCTTATGTCACCCACCGGGAAGGACTTTGGGAGATGCTGGAAGAATCCATCGCCACCACCTCCCGCTCACCTCCACCCCCACCCCACCCCAGCTCTGAATGTTTGAATTGCTTGGTGCTGTCAGTAATGGAAGGGCATCAATGGGTTCGCTTTTGTTGGAAATCCCAGCATCCTCTGGCCATCCTCCCAGGTGAGCACAAGCCCAGGAGGGTACCCTGGAGCACAGCTGCTGTGTGGAAACAGGCCTGCGGTATTTCCAGATCTGGGGGAATTTTTTTAAAAAAATGAAAACCAGAAGGTCAGAATTTTGCATGAAGTTTCCCCAAGTTTCAAAATGCGGTGCCGGCAGGATTCAGCCCACAGGCCACGAGCTTGCCACCCCAGCTTCAGTGAGACAACTTTTTCCGTTTTCTCTCCCAGCTCCCTCTTCTGCAACTTGGCTCTACAGCAATCCACTCTCCTCCGGGATGTGGAAGGAAGCCAAAGGAGGCTGGGCCACGAGGAAAGCCCCCCC